CAGCACCGGGATCAGCGGAGCAGCGAGCTCCGGCACTGGGATCAGCGTGACAGGGGGCAGCGCCCAAACCCCCTGATCGCCCTGCGGCTCTGTGTGTGACAGGGGGTGGGGCCACAACCTCCCTATCCACCCTGCTCTGTTCGTGACAGGGGAAGGCGCCCCAACCCCCTGATCAGCCCTGCTCTGTGTGTGACAGGGTGCGGCGCACCAACCCCCTGATCGGCCCTGCTCTGTGTGTGACAGGGTAGAGCCATAACCTCTCCATCGGCCCTGCCCTGAGTGTGATAGTGGCGGCGCCCCAACCCCCTGATCGGCCCTGCTCTATGGGTGATAGAGGGTGGCGCCCCAACCCCCCTCCACGGGCCTTGCTCTGTGTGTGATGGGGGAGAGTCATAACCTCCCCATTGGCCCTGCTCTGTGTGTGACAGGGGACGGTGCCCCAACTCCCTTATCGGTCCTGCTCTGTGAGTGACAGGAGGGAGCTCCCCAACCCCCTGATCGACCCTGCTCTGTGCGTGACAGGGTACAGAGCCCCAACCCCCCTGATGGGCCCTGCTCTGTGAGTGACAGGGGGCAGCGCCCCAACCCCCTGATCGGCCCTGCTCTGTGCGTGACAGGGGGTGGCACCGCAACCTCCCCATCGACCCTGCCTTGAGTGTGACGGGGCAGTGCCCCAACCCCCCAATCGGCCCTACCCTGAGCGTGACTGAGGTTGGCATCGCAACCTCCTGATCCGCCCTGCTCTGTGCATGACAGGGGGCAGCGCCCCAACTCCCCAATTGGCCCTGCTCTGAGCCTGACCAGGGGCTGAACCTAGGGATTGGGTGTGCCCTCTGCCACCCGCGAGCAGGCCTAAGCCAGCAGGTCGTTATCTCCCGAGGGGTCCCAGACTGCGAGAGGGCACAGGCTGGGCTGAGGGACCCCCCTCCCTCCCCCCCCCCCCAGTGCACAAATTTTTGTGCACCGGGCCTCTAGTAGCTTCATAATAAGTATTGAGGTTTGGTACTTCAAAGCCTTCATTTATTATTCAGCTTCAGTACTCTGGGTCATTTTAGGATCAGCTTATGAAATTCCATTGGGCTTTTACTGGAATTTCTTTGAATTTACTTGGGAACAAATATTATTCATAAATTCCATTTGAGACCTACTTTTATATCTTTAAGTAAAATTTACAATTTTCTCTGTGTAGTTCTTGCATATATTTTGTTTTCAAGGTTAATTTCTAGGTATGATAGCTTGTGCTGATATTTAGGGAAGTGCTGTTGATTTGGGTATACTGATCTTGTATACAGAAAAATTGAATTCTCTTCTAAGGGCCTTTTGGATTTTTTTGTATAGACAATAATAATGAGTTGCTGTTTTCTTCCCAATCCTTTTGATTTTTCCCCCTTGTTATTCAGTCTAAAGCAGCGGTTCTCAACCTTTCTAATGCCGCGACCCTTTAATACAGTTCCTCATGTTGTGGTGACCCCCAATTTCATTGTTAAAAATTGAACATAGTGATTAATCACAAAAACAATATGTAATTATATATGTGTTTTCCGATGGTCTTAGGCGACCCCTGTGAAAGGGTTGTTCGACCCCCAAAGGAGTCACGACCCACAGGTTGAGAACCGCTGAAGCCTCCCATAAAGTGTTGAATAAGAGTGGTGATTGCAGGTAGTAGTGGTTGCCATTTCTGACTGTAAAAAGAATGCTCCCAATAATATTTCATCATGAAGTGTGATATTTTTCTCTCTACATTTTTGGTAGATTGCTTTTGAATTAAGAAATTTAATTTTTATTCCTATTTTGCTAATAATGATTTTTCTTTTAAATCGATGGATATTAAATTTTACCAACATCTTCTGCATATTTTGAGGTGATAACTTTATTTTTTTATTTGTAATTTTAATCTACTTAATTAAATATGTAAAAACTCTAAATAAAATAATATAGCATACAAATCCAATTTATTATAAAAACAGTACATTGTGACAAACCAAATCCAATTTATTATGCAAACAGTACATTATGACTTACGATAAATTGGATTTGGTTTGCTATATTATTTTATTTAGGGTTTTTATATCTTTAATCATACATTAGTTTAGCCAATAATTTTCCTTCCAAACACTCTGTTTGATTTTGATATCAAGGTTACTAGTAAAACTAGCACCACAAAGTAAGTCAAGGAATATGCGTATTTTTCCATCCCATTCTTTCCTACTCTTAAATAGAGGTAGTAAAATATAGTGGTTAAGAATGTGGGCTCTGACCCTGGCTGGGTAGCTGTTGGTTAGAGCATCATCCTGACACTCCAAGGTTGTGGGTTTATAAGTAATAAGTGAAACAAC